ACACACACACACACACACACACACACACACACACACACACACACACAGAGTGTTTCAGTGTTTCAACACCCTCTCCATCCTCATGAGGGTCAGAAGTGCTATGGTATTCAACTGTCAGAAGTCTCCCTCTACCAATTCTTTGCCCAATTAGGGTGAGAGCTTGCGGACTTCTGTGTGAGTTTATAGGGGAAGCCATAGAGGACCAGTGCCTGTGCCACTGTGCCCCTGGCATGATAAAGCCACTCCCTCCCCTTGAGTACATGTATTGAGAGAAGCAGAAATGTCCTGGCAGGGACTCAGGGGAAGCTTTGTGATCAACCTCCAGTGAGGGTCAAACCGAGGATGGCAGGTCTCTAGGGGGACATTCACAGAGCAGAGGGCAGCAAGGTGGCTCACTCAGACCCAGAGTGCACCTTGGGACTATCTTGGAATGCTCAGTCGTCTTTTCCCCATCCCCACCCCATCCCTGTGAAGATCTCCAACAGCAGCACCCATATGACCCCCTCACCTTGTATCCCTTCCAAGCTACCACTTGATACCACAGAGAACTCACCACCACCAAGTAGATACAGCAAAGCCATACCCAGGATCCTGCTGTCAGGATGCTGAACCTACTCCTTCCTGAGGGGCCTGCCAGCACTCACCTGCTGTCTGTTTCCTCACACAAGTAGCCCAAATTTTCACTGTGAGTGACTTAGGGGCACCACACCATGCAGAAGCATGCTGCCTACAGACTCCCCTGCCATGCTTATCCTTATGTTGGAAGGGCAGGCTGGAGAAGTAGGGGGAGACTTCTGTTATATTAGTACCATTGCATCCTTGAATCTGTTGAGTTTGGAGAGGATCCTGAACCCTGCCCTGTGTGTGTGTGTGTGTGTGTGTTTGTGTCAATGTGTGTAATACAGGGTCTCACCATGTAACCCTGGCTGAACGGGAACTCCTTACGTAGACAATATTGAACTTGAACTAGCAGAAATCTACCGGGTCCTGCTGCCCAACTGCTTTGTTAAATGAAACTCAAGATTCAACCAGGAGACACAGATGAGCCCTCAAGGCGGCAATGGGCATGAAGCACACCGTTCAGAAGGTATGGCTGTGTCTCTGGTCTGCAAGTATAGATAAGAACTAGGTAGAGGCAGAGCTGAAAGGAGAGGTCCCAGAGCAGGGTAGTTTCAGGAGGATGGACACAGCCTGGTGTGAGAGCCTCGGTGAGACGTAGGAGGAGAGGTGGAGAGAGAGTCATCAAACTTGATATCCACATTCTCAGCACTGTGGCACAGGGTGGCATCATGGATCCCAAAGGAGGAGGAGACAGAGTTTGCAGTGGCAGACATGAGTATCCAGGAAGCTGATGGAATGTGAATCTAGAGTTCTGCCCTGGGACTGTCAGGGTTAAATCAGGATGGAAGAGGTGACTTTGAGGGTCCCTTGTCTGGAATTTTCCAGAAAATGTGGAGTACAGCAGACTGGGAAGACTATGAAGAAGGTGCTATTTCAGGTCCAGGGTGGGGAACCACATAAGACAGCACTGGAGGTCAGGGGAGGAAGGGGCACAAGGCGGTGCCAGTGCAGAACAGCATGGAGCAGCTCCCGCTGTGTCAATGCAGGTTTGCCTCTGAGGCTTGTGAATGGCGGTGACCGGTGTCAGGGCCGGGTGGAGGTCCTCTACCAAGGCTACTGGGGCACCGTGTGTGACGACAGCTGGGACACCCAGGATGCAGATGTCGTCTGTCGGCAGCTCGGCTGTGGCCATTCTGTATCAGCACCTGGAGGGGCCCAATTTGGTCAGGGCTCAGGGAACATTCTCTTGGGAGCTGTGTACTGCTCAGGACAGGAACCGTACCTGTCCAGCTGTCAGCATGATGGCTGGTACAACCATGACTGTGGCCACAGGGAAGACGCCGGAGTCGTGTGTTCAGGTAGTGTGGCCGTTGCTTCTAGCTGTTGCATGTGCACTCTTGGGCAACACCGTGCTTATATGTTTACATGTGCATGTGTGCTTGTATGTGCACAGCATGTAGCTGCTAATGTGCTTTGCTGTGAATCATGCCTTAATTGATGTTACACGCTGCATACATTGGGCTCTCTTCATAGATGAAGACACTGAGGCTCTGAGCGTCGCAGGCTGGAAAGTGGTGAGGACAGGCTCTATCTCATCAGAGCTCTCTGATGCCATCACTATGAGGAGTGGCATCAAGATCAGCCTTGACCGAAAGGGCAGTTTCTCTCTCTTTAGGGCAGTAGTTGAGAAGGCGACTGCAGGTTCTTACGACCTAAATGTCCAAACTAAATTCAAAGCAAAGAGTGGCCAATATGTCCTCTTCATTGGGTATTAAATGACAAGCAAAAAACACTCAACTAGAGGGATGACAAATTCTCCCAGATCCAACCAAGCAAATCCCAAAACAAGGTATCTCATTGATTGTATGATATACATTCAAATACCAAGGCATCCTTCAGTCTACAGAGATGTCACCCAGGAAACCAGTCCATTGTGTGTCCCCAAAGGATTTGCCAGTTTAACCATCGATAGGCAGCTGTTCTATGTCCCAAGGACTGTGTACATGTCATGACAAGCATAGTGTGGCTATGGTGATCCAGACCCCACCTGAGAACAGTGTTGAAGAAGCAGACTCCTCCAAGCAGCCACTTTGTGAGCAGGTTTCTTCTGCCATTGTGCAATAATCTGTGGAAGTCCCCTGTCTTTCTGGTTGGGGCCACATTCTCAGGAATATTTCTGTGATGGCAAATGTTTATAGTGAGATGTTGTGTTTGAACTACAGAAATAGCCAGATAACTTTTTGAATTCAGATTTCATCCTGCTGTTTCGTATCTTGTGCCTTGGTTGGGGCTGCTAGAGACCTGGGTGGTGTTTGTGATGAAGGAGAAGCAGAGGAGTTGAACGAGGGTGAGGGACAAAAGATGCTCATGGTGACATCTCAGCGTCAAAGTAACAGAAGGGTCAGTATCAGATTCAGCAAGGAGAAATGACAGCGTATCAATGAGAGAAGGCCTTTAGCATGGGAGATGTCAGCTCCAGCTTCTGAGATTCAAGTAAGGACCAACACCCAGTGACTTCTTTCTTTCTCATTCTGCAGATGTTATCTATGAGACTACAAGCATGTCCACAGAAGGTAGCATGTTTTATGTCCCGAGAGTACACACACTCACCTCTGATCTAGAAGATGGGCAGAAAGAAAGGGATGGGGTGATGTGTGTGTGTGTGTGTGTGTGTGTGTGTGTGTGTGTGTATTGTTAAAACTTAGAGAAGCTAGGATTTGGTCCTCATTATAAGAGCTATCCTCTATCATGACCCATTTGTCTCTGTGTGCAGAGGTCAGCAATGGAGTGGTTTTCTCCATGGTCTCTAAATTTAGAGCTGTGTCAGAAAAAACACTTGAGTTGGATAATCAAGATAAGGCAAGTTTCCAGAGAGGTTTCCGTGGCAAAAGGAGACTGATTATATATTAGGGATCCATTCCGAGTCCCTTCAAAGGGTCCAGTTAGTTCAATGCAAAAACCCATGTGGACCTTTTCTTGTCTAGACATGTGGGTACTTAAAGCTTGACTTCAGTGGTAAGTTCACATAAGTTGTCTTGGAGACCAGTAGTGACAAAATTTAGTATTCTCTAGAGTGCTGCTATTGCAGACACAAGGTGAACTCATGGGGCAGTCTCCTGACCCAGCTCAGTGGGGGTGAACAATAGCTTCTATTCATGCTTAATACTGTTTTATTGGGCCTGAAAAAACAGTTCTGATAACACATCTCACCCTTGTCTGGGTAAGCAGCCGGTGAGAGCCTTTGCGAAGGATCCATGAACTTGTCTTCTGCCAGGGAGCTCATCATTCTGTCTCTTTGGTCAGCCACAGAGCAGTGTATGTCAGGGTGGGGCTGGATGTACCGATGTGCAGTCTGTGCATTAGGAGTTGGAGGGCTGTGATTGCTCTTTTTCCTTGAAACACCGTGTGTTATCCAGTGTATGTCGTCATTCGGAAGAGTGTATGGTACTCAAAGGCCTCAGTTACAAGATGCAGCAGGGGTCTGCCCACCATCCAGGATAGATTCAACCCACGTCAGCTCTGCAGACACATAGCCGTCTGATTACAGACACACCTTTTGCATCTTTAGAACAGAAGTAGTGAGCTTTCAGTAAGAATGCCAAGGCAAGTGACAGGGGTAAGGTCTTTCCAAGACAGGGAGCCCGCAAAGTGCAGAGGGAGGGGCTCCTGTGCTGTGTTGCCTTAATCCCCACGAAAGAGCTGCCCAGGAACCCACATACTCTGCCATCTCCGCAGGAACAATGAAGGAGAATCCCTCTTGTCTTTCCAGGAACAACAGAGTCTGATTTGGCTGTGAGGCTGGTGAATGGAGGAGACAGGTGTCAGGGTCGCGTGGAGATCTTGTACCAGGGTTCCTGGGGCACCGTGTGTGACGACAGCTGGGACACCAATGATGCCAATGTGGTGTGCAGGCAGCTGGGCTGTGGCTGGGCCGTGTCTGCCCCTGGAAATGCCCGGTTTGGACCGGGCTCTGGGCCCATTGTCTTGGATGATGTGGCCTGCACAGGTCACGAGTACTATCTGTCGAGCTGCTCCCACCGAGGATGGCTCTCCCACAACTGTGGACACCAGGAGGACGCTGGAGTTATCTGCTCAGGTATGACCAGAGATCCTTAGTTCTCACAGCCATATGGGATATGGTTCAATTCCTTTTAACAACCCCAGAACTCAATTCCGGCCATGTGCATCTCAGCCCTCTAAGACAGGTGAATTCAGAGGTCACTGCCCTTCCCAGTTGGTGTTGTTGTTTTTACTTTTTTCTCTTTTGGTTCCCTGGTCTTTCGGAGGCCTCATACACAGCTGGCGAATAATTCACACACTGTGGCTTATTTTTCCTTATAAAGGCCAGTCCTTAGCTTGACTTTCTGAGTTAGGTCTTCTTAACTTCAATTACTCCATGTGTCTTTTTCCTCTGGACTTTGACTTTCTCTGTTTCTGTATACCTTTCTTTATTTCTTACTCTATAGCTTGCTGTGTAGTTGGGTAGCTGGCCGCCTACATCCTCCTTTCCTTCTTCTCTTGCTTCTTTATCCTCTCAATTTTTCCATCCCATTACTTCTCTCTGCCTGCCTGCCCCCCTGATCCTTTCCTGCCAAGTTATTGGCCATTCAGCTCTTTATTAGGCTAATCATGTGTTTTGGACAGGTAATGTAACATAGATTCACAGAGGTAAACACATGTAACGTAAAAGAAGGCAACACATCTTTCCATCATTAAACCAAATTTTCCACACCACAAACAAATGAAACTCATCTCAAAATGATATTCTCCAGCATTCAGTCAGGGCCTTCACAATCCTCTCAGTTATCCAGGGTTCCAGCGTTCATGTGGGACAGATAATTCACGGAAGGGCAGCATCAGGCCCCAGACTTGAGAAAGCAACAGGGTCAGCATGCACATCCTCCTGCAAGGTGTAAGCTAGTAATGGTTTGCAGAAATGGAACCGGTTTCTGTATGACTTTGCCGTGTTCAGAGGAAGAGTCGTACGGCGCTATTAGGGGAGCAAACACAGGTCTCTCTTGCCAGTGTTTGCCCGCATCCTCAGAAGCACTGCAGAAAGACTCTTTTGGGAAAACTTCAATACTCTTTACTCTCTTCCCACTGTAATAATACCAGGATTTTCCCTGATTCAGGCTCAATAGCCCAATCATGAGCACAGGGGAAGTTACAAATGACTGTTGAGGGTGTGGGTGTGTCAGGGTCGACGTATGTCATGTGTCCCCAAGCCACATGGAAAGAAGTAGTGAAGCAGGGGAGAGAGAACTGCGAGCATTGCTAGAGTCCTACAGAATCCTAGTCCTGGGAAGGTGGACCTTTAGGTGGTCATCACTCATTGCTGGGGGTACCATTGGCTGTCGATCTGCATCACAATGCAGAGCCTTTGCTGTTCTGTCCCAGAGGTGGTGATAACTTCCTTACTTGCATTTAGTAAGCTGAAGAAGCCCAGGTCCCATCCAGGGCAGAGGAGTATAGAGTAGAACTCAATGAACTACTGCATAGCTCATGGCTTGTTCTGGAAGCCCCTGCCCTTCCATTCCAGCCTCTGATTGGTTTGTGAAAATGCTGATTCTGTCCTCCCTGTGGCCTTGGTGAACTACTGGGCACTTTGTGTCTCCCTGTCCTTCTGCTTCACCGGTGTCCATTCCACACCTAGCTCGGGTGAGTCTCCACAACTAGAATTTGAGCGTCCCTGTTCTCCTGGACACTTTTGGAGTCAGGCTCTTTCTGTTAGCACTAGGGCACTGTGAAGACACCTACTACTGTCCTCATCAGAGTTTTCCTACATATGTTACCTATGTGATTATCCTTGGTCTCAGCCCATTCAAGGCTGACGAAGTCTGCCTATGAATTTTTGTGTGAACACACCACTGGGCATGTAGAACCCCCCTGCTGAATGCTATCAAACATGGAGGGGCAGTACTTCACCATGGCACTGAGTACAAGCCTGCAGGGTGGCACCTCATGGTCCCATGCTATGTTTCCTGTGTCTTTGTGTCTCTGTCCATTCATGCTGACTTCTCTGTATTTCAGTTCCTCCATGTTCTTTCTGTTTTTCACAGCTTATCTCATGGAGACACGTCTATCCATATAACCCTTGCTGTGGCCTTCAAGTAATGAATTCTCCAGCCTCAGTCCCACAGTACCAGGATTAAAACTTAGAGCCACCGTGCCCAGCACACCTTCTGGTTTCCTTTATTCTCCTTATTATATTATTATAAAGGGTCCTGCAGGTCACTCACTGCACAGCACTGTGGTTGCTACAGTGCAACTCCAACAGCGCCATCTGTAGCCACAGTCTGCTCACTCTTGCTCTTCTGGTCTCTAGAGCCAATCTATTTATCCTCTCCTTCACTAGCTTGTTCTACCTGCTCAATCTGATGGCCGGAGCATTGTTCCCCTGAGAAGCCCCTTTCTGATTTATACTCAACATACCTAGAAACATGAATACACACACAAACACACATATACACACACAAAGTAGACATACACAGAGATATAACCAAACTTCCTTAGATACTTCCAAGGATAGAAACATACGGAGAAGTACATGCCTGAAGACAGAAACACATGTGTAAACTGTGAAGGAAGCCATGGACACAGAATGCTGATTGGGATATTACTAAGGCTGTTTTTCTCTTTTGACCAATGAAAATGAAACCTCAGTGTTAGACTGTCTTTGGGGAGCTCACACAGCAGAGGTGTAAGAGCTTTCTGTTCAGGGGTTGGTGGACCTGACCTCAGGTTTTCCTGGTTGATCAATGCATAAAATCAGCGCTATTGCTCCCCAGTTAGGTTTTCTCCGTGATTCCTGTGGGTGAAACACACAATCTGAATTTGCTTTATTCCCTTACAGCTTCTCATTCAAGCTATCCAACACCTGGTAAGTACTTTGAAAAGATGGACTGTATCAGTTTAGAGCTTCCCCTATGTCGTAATAAACACTGCCTCACTAAATGTTATCTAACCAGACAAGGAATCATTAAATAATCTGTGTCTGATCTGGACATGTAATAACAACAGAAGCTTCTGCCAGCTGGAGCATAAAGGGTCAGGTGCTAATACAGGTGTAGTCTTCAATCTGATGTTGCCCCTGCCTCAGATTTCAGTGTGCGTCAGAATATAATAGATTATCTGAGTACATGGCCTGGGATTCACATCTTCCCTGAAGGGATTCTGATCAGAGACCCAGAGTGACTCAGATCTGTTTTTTGCCGTCCTCTACACTTTGGGGAAACTCCTGCCTGGTCCAACATTAATAAGGTCTTAATTTTAGCACGATTATTGTGCCATTTGTTTGTTAAGACTTTACAAAGCACAAAAAGTCTATGTATAGTTTTCATTTATTTAGTTTTTTGAAGCCTATTTAACTCAGAGTAGTCTCAGACTTGCAAGACTACCTACCCTAGGTCTCCTGATCCTATAGCTCCGTTCCATAGTTCTGGGATTCCAGGTGTTTGTCGTCCTGTCCAGTTGTTGTTTATTATACCTGAAATGATATATACCCAACCTTTAGACCACTTAGTTTTATTTCCTTTTTGCAAAAATAAATCATTTATATCAAGACCTAGGGCAGTGGACATAGCCAGGCCTGAACCTACAGATTCTCCCACCCCTAGCAGGAGTGCATAGTGCAGTTGAGGTTAATTTCGTATCCTTTATGGGTTCATTTCTAAACAGTGGATTCTTTTCTAATCTGAGTTTGGTTTTTCTTTAGATTATCCATACCATGATCCAACAGTGAATGGTAAGGCCTCTTCTTTCCTCTTAGTCTCTGACTTTAGTCTTCTGGTTGATTTGGGGTCCTGTTTGCCTTCTGTTGCTGTGATAAAACACTGGCCATAAGCAGCTTGGAGGACAAAGGGTTTGTTTGGCTTCCAGGTTACAGTTCATCATCTAGTGTAGAGAAGGTGGGAACCTAAGGCAGAAACGGATCTGGAGACAATGGAGGAGCCCTGCTTGCTGGTTTCCTCGGTCATGCTTTGCTAGCAATATTATACAGCACAGGCTCACCTGCCCAGCTCAGTGTGCTGGCATTCCCCTGTCAGTTATCCATCAAGAGAAGTTCCCACAGACATGGCCTTCTGCAAACATGATTTAGATGAGGCCAGCAGTTGAGACTCCTTCAAGTGACTGAGCTGTGCCAGGTGACAGTGGCGCTATGTTTATATGTATGTTTAGTTTTTTTCTGTTTTGTCTTTTTGAGACAGGGTTTCTCTGTGTAAGTCTGGATGTCGTGAAATTTGTATTTGTTCTGTAGACCAGACTGGCCTTGAATGCACAGAGATTCTCCAGTCTCTGCCTCCCAAGTTCTGGGATTAAAGGCCATTTCGCAGCATAGTTTTAAACATCCAGATTGGGCGGCTTATAATTACCTATAACTCCAACCCAAGTGGCTCTGACACCGTCTTCTGGCCTCTATGGACACCTGTACTTATGTGCCCATACTCAAACACAGACACTTGCCTGTGCACATAATTAAAAATAAAACAAATTTTTCATAATTAAAAATATTGCACATAATCAATGCTCAACTAATCCAGGTAAAATGTGCTACTATAATGAAACCTTAATATTTTGAGTTATGTATCAATAATCCTATTTTTCAGATTGGAATAATAAGACATAGTTAGATAATTTGGCAATATTTGCATGTCTAATATTCTGTGACTGAAAATGGAAAGTTGTGTAGTGGTGTTTCATTTGGATATTAATAAATAAAGTTTACCGGAAGACCAGAGAGCAGAACAGTCACACTGGCCATCCTTACAGGCCAGACAGTAGTGACACACACCTTTAATCTCAATAGCCTCACTAGCTTGCCATAGAAACTGGGCAGTAGTGGTGCACACCGTTAATCGTAGAACTAGGGAGGATGGGAGGAGACAGCTCTCAGCTCAGCCTCATTCTGAGGTTTTCCTGGAGGCAGGATCACGTTTTCGGTCTGAGGGCATTCGTTGATGTGGCAGCTGCTAATCTGTCTGGCCCATGGATATGTGTCCATTCCACCTTGACTGGTGGTCAGAGAGTTTGAGTTTGTTTTGGTTTTCCAAAGTTGTTGACAACAGGTGCCTACAAAATGGAGAGGTCCTGACCTAGGGTGTGTTCAATTAGTATTTTGAGTATAGATGTATATTTGCTCCATCTGGACCAAAGGGCAGAGATGCTCTGTCTATTCTTCGTATGTGCAAACCAAATCAAAGCAAAAAAATAGTCAATATGTCCTCTTTATTGGGTATTAAATGACAAGCAAAAGACACTCAACCAGAGGGATGACAAATTCTCCCAGATTCAACCAAGGAAATCCCAAAACAAGGTATCTCACTGATTATATGATATACATTCAAATACCAAGGCATCTTTCAATCTACAAAGAAGTCACCCAGGAAACCAGTCCATTGTATGTCCCCAAGAGGATTTGCTAGTTTAACCATCGATAGGCAGCTGTTCTGTGTCCCCGGGACTGTGTACATGTCACGACAAGCATAGTGTGGCTATGGTGATCCAGACCCCACCTGAGAATAGTGTTGAAGAAGCAGACTCCTCCAAGCAGTCACTTTGTGAGCAGGTTTCCTCTGCAATTGTGCAATAATCTGTGGAAGTCCCCTGTCTTTCTGGTTGAGGCCACTTTCTCAGGAATATTTACGTGATGGCAAATGTTTATAGTGAGATGTTGTGTTTGAACTGCAGAAATAGCCAGATAACTTTTGGAATTTAGATTTTATCTGGCTATTTCGTATCTTGAAGCTTGTTTAGTGACCTGGGTGGTGTTTGTGATGAAGTAGAAGCAGAGGAGTTGAACGAGGGTGAGGGACAAAAGATGCTCATGGTGACATCTCAGGGGCAAAGTAACAGAAGGGTCAGTATCAGATTCTACAGGGAGAAATGACAGCGTATCAGTGAGAGAAGGCCTTTAGCATGGGAGATGTCAGCTCCAGCTTCTGAGATTCAAGTGAGGACCAACATCCAGTGACTTCTTTCTTTCTCATTCTGCAGATGTTATCTATGAGACTACAAGCATGTACACAGAAGGTAACATGTTTTTTGTGGTATCTCTGTGGCCTTATTGTCCCTAGAACCTACAGGCTCACCTGGGATCCAGTAGATGGGCAGAAGGCAAAGGATGTGGATCTTAAGTTCCCAGGGGAAATTTCTCAATAGGGTTTCAAGTTTACAAGTCATTTATGCCATGGATTACATCCCTGCATGGTGTGGGAATCCTTCTGAAGAGTTATCTGCAAGGGGCTCCATGGGGCTCGTGTTTCCTGGGGTCTGTTTTTGATCCTCAGATCCCTGAGGCTCCCATGTTCCACATTGTACCTTGGTCAATCTAGGGTTTGTGTTTGGCCTTGGTGCCTGGAAAGGAAGACAAAGTCAGCTTAACCTCCACCCTTGTCATATCTTTCCCTCTGGGGCATAAGAAGCTCCCTGGGAAGTCCTGATGCTCCACCCTGGGACATCACAGATGCTGCTTTCCTCTCTCACATCCTCCAGTGAGAGATGCTGGTGGCACCTCAGAACAGTTTAGAGCCTGTCAGCCCGGGCTTTCAGAAGAAAAATCACTTCTTTTATTCCAGGTGGTTTTTTGTTTCTAGGTCATCAGCAAGAACATTCTCAATCCACATGCAGGCCTCTGGCCAGTGCAAAATTCTTTTGTAATCTAAATGGCCCACAGATGAGCCATTGTTCTTCCTTAGGCATGTTGGGTATCCCAAGGATGAGACTGGCATTGTTCTAACTTTTCCATAGTTTCCCCCATGATTCTACCTTTTATTTTTTATATATTAAACATACAAATATTACATATTATATAATATTATTTATATTTATATGTTAATATAAATAGTTATTATTTATATTAACAACTATACAAGGAGAATCCATTTTCTCCTCTGTATTGGTGCCCCTACAGGACACTCTTAGATGCTTGACAGGCTCTTCGATGCTTGACAGGCTCTATGATGCAACTGTATCAGTCATGGGAGGACTGGACAAGTCTCTAACACAGTTCTGCAGGAGAAGACTTTTCTAGAGCTGTTTGTATCAGGACCTACAGTGTGGGAAGAGGTCAACTTCCTTCATTTCCAGTGACTCGATAGAGGCTGGGTGTTTGACAGCAATGGATTCATCTCCCGATATCTCCTCTCTAAGCAGCAGGACCATGTCCTAGAGTCACCCAGGCACATTTTGAACAATTTACACATGTGTTGTTAAACTAATATATTATTTACAAGTGCCATATTAGAAGCATTTCTAAAGTAAGAGCTGTGAGCTAGGCATGGTTATACACAGACACCCACACACACTCACAAACACACAATTCAAGTACTCAGGAGACTGAATAAGGAGAATCTTGAGTTTCAGTGTAGCATAGTGTACATACAGAGACATTGAATTGAAAAAAATACATTTATATAAAAAATTCAAGCAGGCATTCCAACACTTTGCTGGTTTAGATTATATTAGACATATCAGCCAATGCAATCAGATAAGAACAATTAATTAGTTTTATAAGTATGTAAAACATGTTTGTATTGAATCCCCAGATTCAACCCAAGCCAAATGTAGGCTTTAGAGTTGGGGTTTGTAGGTTAACGACATTTCTACAAATGTAGCCTTTTAGATTGGGGGAACTCAAGACTAGACAGATTTCTCACCCATTTCGAGTCACATAGCATCACACAGTAGAGACCCTGAATCACATCCCCTCAGCAGTTTTAAGAGTCTTTGCATGTCTGACCTTTTCTCAATGGAGACTTAACTTCATGTTTCCCATTTTCCTTTCTCATCCATATGTGACCGTGAAGAGGTCACCACTCCAGAGCCGACTACCACTCCAGAGGCGCCCACCACTCTACCAATAGGTAACTGAAATTGTATAAATCTCTCTCTGATGTAGGTTGTAATGTCAGTGTCAGCCATGACTTTCTTTCTTGACACACTTAAAGGGATGTGTGTGTGTGTCTGTGTGTGTAGTATTGTGAAATCTTAGAGAAGCTAGGATCGGGTCCTGATTGTTGGAGCTTTCCTCTATCATGACCCATTTGTCTCTGTGTGGAAGAATCACTCAGCAATGGAGTGGGTTTTTCCACGGTCTCTAAATTTAATGTTATGTCAGAAGAAACTCTGGGTTAGAGGATCAAGATAAGACAAGCTTCCAGAGAGGTTTCCATGGCAAAAGGAGACTGTTGATATATTGTGGGATCCATTCTGAGTCCCTTCAAAGGGTCCCGTTAATCCAGTGCAAAACCCATGTGGACCTTTGTCTTGTCTAAACATGTGGGTACTTAAAGCTTGACTTCAGTGGTAAGTTCACATCAGTGGTCTTGGAGACCAGTAGTGATAAAATTTAGTATTCTCTAGTGTGCTGCTATTGTAGACAAAAGGTGGACTCATGGGGCAGTCTCCTGACCCAGCTCAGTGGGGTGAACAATAGCTTCTATTCATGCTTAACACTGTTTTATTGGGCCTGAAAAAACAGTTCTGATAACACATCTCACCCTTGTCTGGGTAAGCAGCCGGTGAGAGCCTTTGCGAAGGATCCATGAACTTGTCTTCTGCCAGGGAGCTCATCATTCCGTCCCTTTGGTCAGTCATAGAGCAGTGTATGTCAGAGTGGGGCTGGATGTACTGATGTGCAGTCTGTGCATTAGGAGTTGGATGGCTGTGATTTCTCTATGTCCTTGAAAGACCTTACATTGACCAGTATATGTTGGTATCCTGAAGAGTGTATGGTACTCAAAGGCCTCAGTTACAAGATGCAGCAGGGGTCTGCCCACCATCCAGGATAGATTCAACCCATGTCAGCTCTGCAGACACATAGCCCTTCTGGTAACAGACAGACCTTTCCTGTCTAGAACAGAAGCAGCGAGCATTTCAGTGCAGGTGCAAGGGCAAGTGACAGGGTTAAGATCTTTCCAAGACCCAAAAAGCAACAGGGGAGAGGCTCGCATGCCGAATTGCCTTAAACCCCATGAAAGAGCTGCCCGGGAATGCACATGCGCCATTATCCGCACAGGAACAGTGAAGGAGAATCCCTCTTGTCTTTCCAGGAACAGAATTTGATTTGTTTGTGAGGCTGGTGAATGGAGGAGACAGGTGTCAGGGTCGCGTGGAGATCTTGTACCAGGGTTCCTGGGGCACCGTGTGTGACGACAGCTGGGACATCAATGATGCCAATGTGGTGTGCAGGCAGCTAGGCTGTGGCTGGGCCGTGTCTGCCCCCGGAAATGCTTGGTTTGGATCAGGCTCTGGGCCTATTGTCATGGACGACGTGGCCTGCACAGGACACGAGTACCATCTGGGGAGCTGCTCCCACCAAGGCTGGTTCTCCCACAACTGTGGACACCACGAGGACGCTGGAGTCATCTGCTCAGGTATGACCAGAGATCCTTAGTCCTGACATTAAGCATGAGATATGGTTCTGTCCCTTTTAACCCCCCTCCCTCCCATCTCCATTCTGTCCTTGTTTATCTCTAAGGCTGGTAAATAGCCAGAGCCCTGCCATTCTCATCCAGTGCTGTTTGTCTTCATTCTTTTCTCTTTTGGCTCCTTGCTGTTACACGCCAACCGCTGAGCTCCCAAATAAATCACACACAGAAATTTATTCTTGTATTAAAGTACCTAGCTTTAGCTTGGCTTTTAAAGTTACCTTTTCTTAACTTCAATTATCACATCTCTCTTTTGCATCAGGGCTTTTACTTTCCCTATTTCTGTACACCTCTCAGTACTTCTTACTCTGTGACTGGCTGTGTAGTTGGGTGTTTGGCCACCGACTCCTCCTTCTCCTTCTCCGCTCAGATTTCTCCTTCCATTTATTCTCCCTGCCTTCCATACCTGTTCATCCTTCCATGCCATGCAATTGGTTATTCAGTTCTTTATTAGATCAGTCGGTTGATTTTTTTTTTTTTTTGTCATGATAGGGCTTCTCTGTAGCTCTGTAGCCTGTCGTGGAACTAGCTCTTGTAGACCATAGCACCTCGAACTCACAGAGATTCACTCTGCGTACTGTCTGGGAGTAAAGGTGTGTGCCACTGCCTCCCAGCCTAACTGTTCTTTCTAAAGTCCAGGGATATTGTCAGTCTCTATAGGAGGACTAAGAACTTCCTTGCTTATACCCAAACTCTTTTTACTCAAATCTTTATAAAATCTGCTCTGTGACCCACACATGTCTTCCACATTTTTACAGTCATTCCCAGTTAGAGTCCCTGATAGAACACCACGGCTGTGTGAGTCGTTTCCGTGCTCCTGGGATGAGGGCAGAATGAAAGCTTCTGCCTGCTGGGTACAGGTGCAGGGGTTCCCCGAGTTTATGATCCACTGCCCGTGTTATCCGTGAAGAAAGCCAAGGACACAGTAATACTGGAATATTACTGAGGCTGTTTTGCTCTTTTGACAAAGAAAATGGAACCTCAGTGTTAGATTGTGTTTTTGGAGAGCACATACAGCAGAGACGTAATAGCTTTCTGTTCAGTTGTTGATAAACTTAACCTCGGGTGTTCCTGGTTGATCAATGCCTAAGAGTCAGTATTATTGCTCCCCAGTTAGGTTTTCCCCAGGATTCCTGTGGGTGAAACACAGAATCTGAATTTGCTTTATTCCCTTTCAGATTCTCATTCAAGCTATACACCACCTGGTAAGTACTTTGGAAAGATGGACTATATCAGTTTAGAGTTTCCCCTATGTCGTAATAAACACTGACTCACTAAATGTTATCTAAGGATATGAGGATGTCTGAATGGACATGTAATGACAACAGAAGCTTCTGCCAGCTAGAACATAAAGGGTCATGTGGTAATACAGGCAAAGTCTTCAATCTGATGTTGCCCCTGCCTCAGATTGTGTCAGAATTAATAGATTATCTGATTGTGTGCCCTGGGATTCACATCCTTCCCTCAAGGGACTCTGACTTGGATACTCAGAGTGCCTCAGGGGTCTGTGCTTTGGCAGATGATGTGTAAGGATAGCCTTCCCTCCTCCACACTTGGGAAATCTGCCTGGTCCAGGACTAATAAGACTTTAGGATTTGCAAGAGTATAGGCCCATTAGTTTCCTAAGCCTTAAAAAAGAAAAAATATGTCCATGTTATTTAGTTATTTATTAGTTATTTATTTTTGACATCCATGTAGCCCAGGCTCATCTCAGACTTGTTGTAAACAAGGCTTCTTGAACTCCTGATGCCCTTGATTCTCTTTCAAGAGATCCGGGATTCCAGGAGTGTGCCACCAAGCCCAACTCTTGTTTATCATATCTTCAATAATGTCTTCTTCATCTCCAACCTACTTGCTTTTATTTCCTTTTGCCAAAAATTTTTTTTGACCAAATACTTGGGCAGTGCACATAGCCATGGCTGCACCACACATCACCCTGTGCCCAGCAAGAGTATACAGTGCAGTTGAAGCTAACTTTGTAACCTGAGTGAGTTCATTTCTAAACAGTGAACCCTCTTCTAAACTTTGTTAGGTTTTCTTCTGGCTAGTGGATCCTAGAAGTGACATCTAATCCCTTTTCTCTTAGTCTCTGATTATTGGCTACTCATTGGATTGGTATCCAGTGTGCCTTCTGCTGCAGTGATAAAACACTGACCTTCAGCCACTTGGAGGAGGAAGGGTTTATTTAGCTTAAAGTTTCTTGTCTATCATCCAGTGAAGCCAGAGCAGGAGCCCAGGACAGAGGGAGCCCGAGGCAGGAACTGATGCAGAGGCCTTACAGGATCCCTGCTTTTGACTTCCAAACTCACGCTTAGTCAGGAATTTTATACTATACAGGCTCATCTTATAAGGTCAATGGGATGGCATTCCTCTACCAATTATCAATCAAGAGAAGTTCCCATAGACATAGTCAGTAGCAAATGTGATTTAGATAAACCCAGCAGTTGAGACTCCTTCAAGTGACTCAGCTGTGCCAGGGTGATGGTGGCGCTAGCTAGGACAGGTGCTCAGCCCTGTTGCTCCTGCTGCTGTCTGCTGGAATCGAAGAGCAGCTTTGGGTACAGAATCAGGGATGGAGTGGAGATGAGAGCTTGGGTGTCAAGCTGCTGGGTGAACTCCACCAATCCCTGTCCTTCACCTTCCTTCTCCTCTCTGCCCTTCAGTTACTTGAGGGGTGACATCAGCTTGAGGCTAGTGTCAGAAAAGCTCACTGGAAACACTCACCGGTCCTTCCTTGTACAATAAGAGCTGTTCTTGCAACGGTTAACAACATCTCATAGCTCAAAACTTGTTATATATCAGAACCAAAATCATTTTCATGTATGAAACAAATGCATCAAAATATAAAGCAGAGGCTGAAGAGATGGCTCGTCATTAAGAGCACACACTGCTCACAAGACCTTAGTTCAGCTTTAAAGACCCAGATTAGAGAGTTTATAAGCACCTATAACTCCAACACGAGTGGCTCTGACACCCTCTTCTGGCCTCTATGGACAAGTGTACCGATGTGTACATACCACACAGAGACACCTGTCTATGTGCATAAATAAAAATAAAACAAATCAAAAATTAAAAATATTGCACATTATCAGTGCTGAGCTAATACAGGTAATATGCACTATTATCGCAAAACCTTTCCAACACTTTGAGGTAAGTATCATCGATCCCATTTTTTAGATAGGAAAACTAAAACATAGTTAGATAATTTGTTAATAGTTGCGGGTCTATGATTCCGTAGCTGTAAATGTGAAGGTGGCGTTTGAACCCAGGACTGCCTAGAAAAGACCATCTTTGTCCAACCAGGCTGTGAGACAGACTGGTTTATAGGGGAGGTCATAGAGGACCAGTGCCTGTGCCACTGTGCCCCTGGCATGATAAAGCCACTTCTTACCCTTTAGTCCATGTCGGGAGAGAAGAAGAAATGTCCTAAGAGGGACTCAACCTCCAGTTAGGGCCAAACTGAGGATGGCAGTTCTCTAGGGGGACATCCGCAGAAGGACCAGCAGAGGGCAGCAAGATGGCTCATTCAGACCCAGGAGCACCTTGTGACTATCTTGTATTGCTCAGTTGTCCTTTGCCCATCTCCACCTGTGAAGACCTCAACAACTGCACCCATCTGACCCCTTCACCTTGTTTCCATTCCAACCTGTTACTCACATACGACAGAGTACTCATAATCATAAGGTAGCCACAGCAAAGTCATACCCAGGATCCTGCTGTCAGGATGCTGAACCTGTTCCATCCTGGCCAAAGAGGGGGGCTGACAACACTCATCCTTGCCTGTGTCTTCTCACTGTCAGTCACTGTGATTGACTTAGGGACATCACACCGAGCAGAAACATGCTGCCCGATGTCTCCCCAGTCACGTTCATCCTTAGTGGGAGAGTAGGCTGGAGTGGCAGAGGGAGACTTCTGTTAGATGAGAGCCATTGCCTCCTTGATCCTGTTTAGGACAGGATCCTGAGAGGATCCTGAAGCACTCTTTGTGTGTGTTTGCGAGACAGGGTCTCACCATGTAGCCCTGGCTGGTCTGGAACTCCTTATGTAGACCATATTGAAATTGTCTTGCAGAAATCTGCCCGGTTTTGCCTCCTGACTGTTTAAAATTGTGCACCAGTGTTCCTGCTCAATGCTGAAGGGCTTAGGGAAGAACAGTGACTAAGTTGTGCAAGTGCAAGTGGTCTGCCATGAAACTCAAGGACCAACCAAGGCTTGAGGATGAGAGCTGATTAGAGAGGTGGAGAAAGTGGAGAGAGACAGAGAGAGAGACATCAAGCTTGACGTCCGCATTCCCAGAACACTTGATGAGTTACATAGAGGTGTTATGGATCCCAGTGGAGGAGGAGACAGAGTTTGCAGTGGCAGACATGGTATCCAGTAAGCTGATGGGATGTGAACCTAGAGTTCTGCCCTAAGAATGTCAGGGTTAAATCAGGACTGAAGAGGTGACTTAGAGAGCCCTTGTCTAGAAAGTTTTCAGAGAATGTAGGGTACGGTAGACTGGGAAGACTATGAGGAAGGGCATTGCTCAGGTCCAGGGTGGGGAAGAAACACAGACAGCACTGGAGGTCAGAGGAGGGAGGGGCGCAAGGTGGTGCTCGCACAGGATGGAGCAGGCCAAGTGAGCACTTCCTGCAGCTTAGCCTCTAAAGCTGCTGAGTGGCGGTGACCGGTGTCAGGTTGGGTGGAAGTCCTGTACAAAGGCTACCGGTGCACTGTGCGTAATGACAGCTGGGACATCCAGGATGCCGATGTCATCTGTTGGCAGATGGGCTGTGGCCATTCTGTATCAGCACCTGGAGGGGCCCACTGTGTCCGGTCTCAGAGAACATCCTCTTGGGAGCTTTTTACTGATCTGGATGGGAAACCCACCTGTCCAGCCGTCAGCATAACGGGTGGTACAACCGTGACTGTGGCCACAGGGAAGACATCGGAGTCACATTCCTTACCCAATTCAGACTCCAAATCAGCAGATTTAACTGTACTTGCATGTCTCTGGTTTTCTCAACGGAGACTTAATTTCTTATTTTCCATTTTTCTCTCCAATCTGTATCTGAACATGCAGATGTGACCACTCCAGAGCCTTTCACCACCCCAGAGGTGACCACTACTCCGGAAACAACAGTAGGTAAGGACACGGTACAAATTGTCCTCTGTAGGGTGTAATGCTAGTGTCATTCATGGTGCTGGCTTTCCTGAGACACGTCAGGGTGTGTGTGTGTTAGTGTGTGTGTGTGTGTGTGTGTGTGGTGTGTGTGTGTATGTGTGGTGTGTGTGTGGTGTGTTTGTGTGTGTTTGTGTGTGTGTTTGTGTGTGTGTTTGTGTGTGTGTGTTTGTGTGTGTTTCTTTTGTGTTTGTGTGTTTGTGTGTGTGTGGTGTGTGTGTGTCTATGTGTGTGTGTGTCTGTGTGTGTGTGTTTGTGTGTGTGTGTTTGTGTGTGGTGTGGTGTGTGTGTGTGTGTGGTGTGTGTGTGTTTGTGTGTGGTGTGTGTGTGTATGTGTGTGGTGTGTGTGTGTGTGTGTGTTTGTGTGTGTGTGTGTGTAGTGAAAACTTAAAGAAGGGTGGGATTGACTCTTGATCCATGGGGCTTTCCTTTACTGAGGCACCTGTCACTTCCCATTTGTCTCTCTCTGTGTAGAGGAGACAGTCAGCAGGGGGTGGGTTTCAGATTTCTATAGTCTCTAAATTGAGTGTTATGTCAGAAGAATCTGTGTTAGAGGATTATGATAAGACAAGCTTCTAGAGAGGTTTCCGTGGCAAAAGGAGACCGATGATACATCATGGGATCCATTCTGAGTCCCTTCAAAGGGGCCCCTTCCAGATCAGTGCAAAACCCATGCGGACCTTTGTCTTGTCTAAACATGTGGGTACTTGAAGCTTGACTTCAGTGGTAAGGTCACATCAGTGGTCCTGTTAACCAGCAGTGACAAAGTTCAGGGTTCTCTAGTGTGCTGCTATTGTAGACAGAAGGTGAGCTCATGGGGCAGTCTCCTGACCCAGCTCAGTTGGGTGAGCAATAGCCTCTTTTCATGTTTAATACTGTTTTCTTGGGCCTGAATAACAGTTCTGATATCACGTCTCACCCTTGTCTGGGTAAGCAGCTGGTGAGAGTCTTTGCCAGGGACTCACGAACTTGTCTCCTGCTAAGCAGCTCATCACTCTGTCCCCTTTGTCTGTTGGAGAAAAACCTCCTCTACCTTATGCTCTACTGATGACAAGTGTGGGGCTGGATGTGTCCCAATGCAGTCCGTGTGTTAGGAGTTGTGAGGCTGTGATTGCTCTCTCTCCTTGAAACACCCCACATTCTCCAGTATATGCCATCATCTAGAAGAGTGTATGGCCCTCGGAGGCTTCAGGTACAAGATGCAGCAGGGGTCTGCCCACCATCCAGGATAGATTCAACCCACGTCAGTACTGCAGACACTTAGCCCTCCTGGTGACAGACAGACCTTTCCTGTCTAGAACAGAAGCAGCGGTGGAGGGAATCATGTGCTGTATTGCCTTAAACCCCATGAAGAGCAGTTCAGGAATGCACATGCGCCATTATTCACACAGGAACAATGACGGAGAATCCCTCGTGTCTTTCCAGGAACAGGGCTTGATTTTCTTGTGAGGCTGGTGAATGGAGGAGACAGGTGTCAGGGTCGCGTGGAGATCTTGTACCAGGGTTCCTGGGGCACCGTGTGTGACGACAGCTGGGACATCAATGATGCCAATGTGGTGTGCAGGCAACTGGGCTGTGGCTGGGCCGTGTCTGCCCCCGGAAATGCTTGGTTTGGATCGGGTTCTGGGCCCATTGTCCTGGATAACGTGGCCTGCAGAGGTCATGAGTACTATCTGGCAAGCTGCTCCCACCAAGGCTGGTTCTCCCACAACTGTGGACACCATGAGGACGCTGGAGTCATCTGTTCAGGTATGACCAGAGATCCTTAGTTCATAAGTTCTCACAGCCATTAATAAGATATGGTTCGGTCCCTTTTTCACAACCCCAGAACTCCATTCCGGCCATGTGCCTCTCAGCCCTCTAAGACAGGTGAATTCCGAGGTCACTGCCCTTCTCAGCTGGTGGTGTGGTTGTTTTTCTTCTCTTTCTCTTTTGGCACCTTGCTCTTTCGGAGACCTCCCACCCAGCTCCCAAATAAATCACACACAGTGGCTTATGTTTCCTATAAAGGCCAGTCCTTAGCTTGACTCTCTGAGCCAGCTTTTCTTAACTTCAATTACCCCATCTGTCTTTTTCTCTGCACTTTGACTTTCTCTGTTTCTGTATACCTTTATTTATTTCTTACTCTATAGCTTGCTGTGTAGTTGGGTAGCTGGCCGCCTACATCCTCCTTTCCTTCTTCTCTTGCTTCTTTATCCTCTCAATTTTTCCATCCCTTTACTTCTCTCTGCCTGCCTGCCCCCTGATCCTTTCCTGCCTAGTTATTGGCCATTCAGCTCTTTATTAGGCTAATCATGTGTTTTGGACAGGTAATGTAAAGTAGCTTCACAGAGGTAAACACAGGCAACATAAAAGAAGGCAACACATCTTCCCATCATCAAAGCAAATTTTCCACACCACAAAGAAATGAAACTCATCTTAAAATGATATTCTACAGCATTCAGTCAGGACCTTCACAATCTTCTCAGTTATCCAGGGCTCCAGCATTCATGTGAGACAGATAATTCACGGAAGGGCAGCATCAGGCCCCAGACTTGAGAAAGCAACAGGGTCAGCATGCACATCCTCCTGCAAGGTGTAAGCTAGTAATGGTTTGCAGAAATGGAACCGGTTTCTGTATGACTTTGCCGTGTTCAGAAGGCAGAGCAGTACAGCAAACACAGGTCTCTCTTGCCAGTGTTTCCCCGCATCCTCAGAAGCACTGCAGAAAGAACCTTTTGGGAAAACTTCAATACTCTTTACTCTCTTCCCGCTGTAATAATACCAGGATTTTCCTGATTCAGGCTCAATAGCCCAATCATGAGCACAAGGGAAGTTACAAATGACTGTTGAGAGTGTGGGTGTGGCAAGGTTGACGTATGTCATGTGTCCCCAAGCCACATGGAAAGAAGTAGTGAAGCAGGGGAGAAAGAACTGCGAGCATTGCTAGAGTCCTACAGAATCCTAGTCCTGGGAGGGTGGACCTTTAGGTGGTCATCACTCATTGCTGGGGGTACCCTTGGCTGTCGATCTGCATCACAGTGCAGGGCCTTGGCTGTTCTGTCCCAGAGGTGGTGATAACTTCCTTACTTGCATTTAGTAAGCTGCAGAAGCCCAGGTCCCATCCAGGGCAGAGGAGTATAGGGTAGAACTCTATGAACTACTGCATAGCTCATGGCTTGTTCTGGAAGCCCCTGCCCTTCCATTCCAGCCTCTGATTGGTTTGTGAAAATGCTGCCTCTGTCCTCCCTGTGGTCTTGGTGAACTACTGGGCACTTTGTGTCTCCCTGTCCTTCTGCTTCACCGGTGTCCATTCCACACCTAGCTTGGGTGAGTCTCCACAACTAGAATTGGAGCGTCCCTGTTCTCCTGGTTACTATTGGAGTCAGGCTCTTTCTGTTAGCACTTGGGCACTGAGAGGACACCTACTACTCTCCTCATTGGAGTTTCCCTACATATGTTACCTATGTGATTATCCTTGGTCTTTGTCCATTCAAGGCTAACGAAATCTATGTATGAACTGTGTGAAAATACCACTGGGCATACAGAACCCCCCAGATGAATGCTATCAAACATGGAGGGGCAGTACTTCACCATGGCACTGAGTACAAGCCTGCCGGGTGGCATCTCGTGGTCCCATGCTATGTCTCCTGTGTCTTTGTGTCTCTGTCCATTCATGCTAACTTCTTTGTATTTCAGTTCCTCCATGTTCTTTCTGTTTTCCACCGCTTATCCCACAGAGTCATGTCTATCCATATAACCCTCGCTGCTGGCCTTCAGGTAATGAATTCTCCAGCCTCAACCTCACAGGACCATGATTACAACTTGGAACCACCGTGCCCAGGACATCTTCTGGTTTCCTTTATTCTCCTTATTATAAAGGGTCCTGCAGGTCACTCACTGCACAAAGCTGTGGTTGCTACAGTGCAACCCCAACAGGGCCACCTGTAGCCACAGTATGCTCACTCTTGCTGCTCTGGTCTCTAGAGTCAATCTATTTATCCTCTCCTTCACTAGCTTGTTCTTCCTGTTCATTCTGATGGCCAGGGACATTGTTCCCCATAGAAGACCCTTTCTGATTTATATTCAAAATACTTAGAAACATGTACACACACAGACACACACAGACACAAACACACATATAGACAGATATACACACACAAAGGTAGATATACACAGAGATATAACCAAACTTCCTTAGATACTTCCAAGGATAGAAACAAATGGAGAGATACATGCCAGAAGACAGAAACACATGTGTAATCCGTGAAGGAAGCCATGGATACAGAGTGCCGATTGGGATATTACTAAAGCTGTTTTTCCTCTTTTGACCAATGAAAATGAAACCTCAGTGTTAGACTTTGTCTTTGGGGAGCCCACACAGCATATGTGTAAGAGCTTTCTGTTCAGGGGTTGGTGGACTTGACCTCGGGTGTTCCTGGTTGATCAATGCATAAGAGTTAGCGCTATTGCTCCCCAGTTAGGTTTTCCCCGGGATTCCTGTATGTGACACACACAATCCGAATTTGCTTTATTCCCTTACAGGTTCCCAATCAAGCTATCCAACACCTGGTAAGTACTTTGAAAAGATGAATTGTATCAGTTTAGATCTTCCCCTATATAATAATAAACACTGCCTCACTAAATGTTATCTAATGAGACAAGGAATCATTAAACAGTCTGTGTCTGATCTGGACACGTAATGACAACAGAAGTTCTGCCAGCTGGAGCATAAAGGGTCAGGTTCTAATACAGGTGCAGTCTTCAATCTGATGTTGCCCCTGCCTCAGATTTCAGTGTGTGTCAGAATCTAATAGATTATCTGAGCGCATGGCCTCACATCTTCCCTGAAGTGATTCTGACTCGGAGACCCAGAGTGGCTCAGGGGTCTGTGTTTTGCTGTCCTCCACACTTTGGGGGAAACTCCTGCCTAGCCCAACATTAATAAGACCTTAATTTTAGTACGGTAATTGGGCCTTTTGTTTGTTAAGACTTTACAAAGGAAGAAAATCTATGTATAGTTTTTGTTTATTTAGTTTATTGAGCCCCATTTAGCTCATAATAGTCTCAAACTTGCAAGATTATCTACCATTGGTCTCCGGATCCTATAGCTCAGTTCCATAGTTCTGGGATTCCAGGAGTTTGACGTCCTGCCCAACTCTTGTTTATTATACCTGAAATGATATATACCCAACCTTCAGCCCACCTGTTTTTATTTCCTTTTTGCAAAAAAAATCATTTATATCAAGTCCTAGGGCAGTGGACATAGTCAGGCCTGAGACTACAGATTCCCCCACCCACAAAGGAGTGTACAGTGCAGTTTAGGTTAATTTTGTATCCTTTATGAGTCCATTTCTAAACAGTGGATCCTTTTCTAATCTGAGTTTGTTTTTCTTTAGATTATCCATACCATGATCCAACAGGGAATGGTAAGGCCTCTTCTTTCCTCTTAGTCTCTGGCTTTAGTCTTTTGATTGAGTTGAGGTCCAGTTTGCTTTCTGTAGCTGTGATAAAACACTGGCCATAAGCAACTTGGAAGGAGAAGGGTTTGTTTAGCTTACAGGATACAGTTCTCTACAGTGTAGAGAAGCTGGGAGCCTAAGGCAGAAATTGATGTAGAGGCAACGGAGGAACCCTGCTTGCCGGCTTCCTAGCTCATGTTTAGCTAGCAATATTATGCAACACAGACTCACCTGTCTAGCTCAGTGTGCTGGCATTCTCCCATCCATCAAGAGAAGTTCCCACAGACATACATGCCATCTGCAAATGTGATTTAGATAAACCCAGCAGTTGAGACTCCTTCGAGTGACTCAGCTGTGCCAGGTGACAGTGGCGCTAGCTAGGACAGGTGCTCAGCTCTGCTGCTCCTGCTGCTGTCTGCTGGGATCCAAGTGCAGCTTTGGGTACAAAATCAAGGATGGAGTGGAGATGAGAAGCTGCTGGGCAAACTCCACCAATCCCTGTCCTTCACCTTCCTTCTCCTCTCTGCCCTTCAGTCACTTGATGGGTGACATTAGCTTGAGCCTAGTGTCAGAAAAGCTCGCTGGAAACACTCACCTGTTCTTCCTTTGTGCAACATGGGCTGTTCTTGCAAATAGCACAATCAAAGCTAAATAACTTGATGTATACCCCGACCCTAATAGTTTTCATGTATGAAGTAAATACATTGAAAGGTAAAGAGGAAACTGGATGGTAGGCACAGGCATTTGTAGCACACACTGTATGTATGTTTAGTATTTTTCTGTTTTGTCTTTTTGAGACAGGGTTTCTCTGTGTAAGTCTGGATGTCCTGAAATTTGTATTTGTTCTGTAGACCAGGCTGGCCTTGAATGCACAGAGATTCTCCAGTCTCTGTCTCCCAAGTTCTGGGATTAAAGGCCTCTGCTCAGCATAGTTTTAAGTACCCAGATTGGGCATCTTATAACTACCTATCACTCCAACACGTGTGACTCTGGCACCCTCTTCTGGTCTCTGTGGACACCTGTACTTATGTGCACACACCCACACACAGACACTTGCCTGTGCACATAATTAAAAATAAACACATTTTTCACAATTAAAAATATTGCACATAATCAATGCTCAACTAATACAGGTAAGATGTGCTATTATCATTAAACCTTAATATTTTGAGGTATGAATCATTAATCCCATTTTGCACATTGGAAAAATAAGACATAGTTAGATAATTTGGCAATATTTGCATGTCTAAGATTCTGTGGCTGAAAATGGATCGTCGTGTAGTGGTGTTTCATTTGGATTTTAATAAATAAAGTTTGCCTGAAGACCAGAGAGCAGAACAGTCACACTGGCCATCGTTACAGATCAGGCAGTGGTGACACACACTTTTAATCTCAGTAGCCTCAATAGCTTGCCATAGAAACTGGGCAGTAGTGGTGCACACCGTTAATCGTAGAACTAGGGAGGATGGGAGGAGACAGCTCTCAGCTCAGTCTCATTCTGAGGTTTTCCTGGAGGCAGGATCACGTTTTCGGACTGAGGGCAGTAATTGATGTGGCAGCTGCTAATCTGTCTGGCCCATGGATATGTGTCCATTCCACCTTGACTGGTGGTCAGAGAGTTTGAGTTTGTTTTGCTCCTCCAAAGTTTTTGACAACAGGTACCTATAAAATGGAGAGGTCCTGACCTAGGGTGTGTTCAATTAGTATTTTGAGTATAGATGTGTATTCGCTCCTTCTGGGCAGAGATGCTCTGTCTATTCCTCGTATGTGCAAACCAAATCAAAGCAAAGAGTGGCCAATATGTCCTCTTTATTGGGTATTAAATGACAAGAAAAAACACTCAACCAGAGGGATGACAAATTCTCCCAGATCGAACCAAGCAAATCCCAAAACAAGGTACCTCATTGATTCTATAATCCTAATACTCATTTAAATATCAAGGCATCCTTTAATCTAGAAAGAAGTCACGCAGGAAACCAGTCCATTGTGTGTCCCCAAAGGATTTGCCAGTTTAACCATCGATAGGCAGCTGTTCTGTGGCCTCTGGGACTGTGTACATGTCATGACAAGCATAGTGTGGCTATGGTGATCCAGACCCCACCTGAGAATAGTGTTGAATAAGCAGGATCCTTCAAGCAGCCACTTTGTGAGCAGGTTACTCTGCCATTGTGCATTAATCTGTGGAAGTCCCCTGTCTTTCTGGTTGGGGCCACTTTCTCAGGAATATTTATGTGATGTCAAATGTTTATAGTGAGATGTTGTGTTTGAACTGCAGAAATGGCCAGATAACCTTTTGAATTCAGATTTCATCTTGCTGTTTCGTATCTTGTGCCTTGGTTGTGCTGCTAGTGACCTGGGTGGTGTTTGGGATGGAATAGAAGCAGAGGAGTTGAACGAGGGTGAGGGATAAAAAGATGCTCATGGAGACATTTCAGCGTCAAAGCAACAGAAAGATCAGCATCAGATTCTACAGGGAGAAATGACAGCGTATCAGTGAAAGAAGGCCTTTAGCATGGGAGATGTCAGCTCCAGCTTCTGAGATTCAAGTGAGGACCAACATCCAGTGACTTCTTTCTTTCTCATTCTGCAGATGATTTATACGAGACCACAAGCGGCACCACCGAAGGTAACATGTTTTTTGTGGTATCTCTGTGGCCTTATTGTCCCTAGCACCTACAGGCTCACCTAGCATCCAGTAGATGGGCAGAAGAAAGGGGATGTGGATCATAAGCTCCCAGGAGAAATTTCTCAATCAGGTTTCAAGTTTACAAGGGCAAGTATGCCATAGATTAAGTCCCTGAATTAATTAAGTCACTGAATATGCAGTGGGGATTCTCTTGAAGGGGAATCTGCAAGGGGCTCAAAGGTGCTCTTGTTTCTAGGGTCTGTTGATGATCCTCAGAGCCCTGAAACCCCCATGTTCCACACTGTACCTTGATCAGCCTAGGGAGATGAGTTTGGCCTTGGTGCCTAGAAAGGAAGACAAAGTCAACTTAACCTCCACCCTTGTCATATCCTTCTCTCTGGGTCATAGGAAGCTCCCTGGGAAGTCCTGATGCTCCACCCTGGACATCACAGATGCTGCTTTCCTCTCTCACATCCTCCAGTGAGAGATGCTGGTGGCACATCAGAACAGTTTAGAGTCTGTCAGCCTGGGCTTTGGGAAGGAGAATCACTTCCTTTCCCCCCTGGGGTTTTTTGTTCCCAGCTTTGTGATCCTTCCCTGTGGGGGACATGTCTATGTCCTGAGACCTAGCACATCTCTCTTCCACCTGAAGAAGGATAGATTAGGATGTATGAAGATGGACAGAAAATTCTATCAGAGGTCATGAAGCCAATCTGAGACACCATGTCACCCTATTAGTCTAACGGTGAAGGCTCGATGCATGTGATGTCCAAGGTCGCCAATGTAATAGGGTCAGCGGCGCCTACTTTGTTCTTAGCTAAAGTGTCTACGTCATGACACTGCTGGTCTTTGACTGTGGAGTTGCTTTCCTTCATGGGAAAATGATCATTTGACAAGTCATTTCACTTGTTTAAATCCTGTCTCCGGCTCCCCATCAAAGCATCCTAAGTTCAAGTTCCCCACTGGGCTTTGGTAATGAATGGTGTGTGCCTCTGTCCAGTCCTTTTGGGTCCTGGGGTAGAGTCTATGTTCATGAGTAAAAAGCAATGCAGGCCTGTGCCTCAAGTCCAGCATGGGCCGCGCTGTCCCGGAGATCTGAAGAGTCCAGTGTAAGAACTGGACTTGCCAGTTACCCCAGAGTCACTGGACAGACACTGTCAACACATCCTGTCCTACATCTCACCTTCGGTGGGATCAGACTGTGGGCTCTTCTGACCCCATGGGTAGCCTCGTCCTGACCGCTGAGATGACTAGCTCTCTCTGACCTGAGGCAGCAGGTGAGAACACGCCAGTGTCTGGTCTGCTCTGGGTCATGAACACAGGGCCAGGCTAGGCACCTTCTCTTCAAGGCCTCTGACATGGCTTCTCTTTCTCACAGTTGATACATCGCCATACCCGACTATTGCTGGTGAGTCCAGTTCTTCCTCACGGCTTGTGTTTCCCACTGCCCCTGTTCTGTTCACACTTTCGGAAACAGCTACAGCGCGGGTGGGACGCCTCAGTATTCTGTCTCCCCCAGATCCTCCAGCATCCTCCATAAAGTAGAGTGGGAATTTCTGCTGAGCCAAAAGCTCTGATTGTCCCAGTGGCATAACTAAGTTATAGCACTTACTCCATCATGCTAAGTTTCATTATTCTGGTGAAATCATTTGCTACCCTCAATTGGAGGGACACAAGCAAACATGTCCAAGCCATTACATGCTCTCAGGGAAAGGACTTTCTTTTTCTCAGCCCCAGTGCTTCTGTGTCCCATGTTTTCTACTTGACCCAACTTTGATGCTCAGCCCTTCCTTCTAATCCAGCTTTGTTTTCCTCTCCAGATTGGTGGACTGACACTCCTCCCAGTGGTAAGTGTGTGTGTGTGTGTGTGTGTGTGTGTGTGTGTGTGTGTGTGCAGACCAAAGCATAGCTTAAAACCCTTCAGCCAAGAGGAGGTTGGAGAGAGACAGGAATTCTGGCATCTGTGGTGGAGCACAACTCAGAAGCCCAGGAGAAAGAAAGGGATTAGGAAGAGGGCATATCTTTCCCGTGTGCCTCCCCAGTGATCCACTCTATCCCCCAAATCCATCTCCTATTTAATCCGTTGCAGAATCAATGACCAGATTTAGTAAGAGCCTTCCTGGGGCTTGGGGTTGGGCTCATGTGGTCGGACTCATTAGTAGGTCTCCAGGTTTTTAACATGTGCCCATTGGTGGACACTTCCTATTCCATTCAGAACACCTTAGTGTTGCAAATAGACTGAGGCCCTGGACTCTGTGAGTCAGAACAGGTAGAAATAGGTATAGAATCCACCATGCTTCCTCCAGAATTTCTCTGTTCTCCAGAGAGATTGAAGCTCATATCAGCAAACACGTACATATCTGAAATAAGCCCTGGATAGGTGTTAATTATTCCTGGTGATCTCTTTATGTCCAGGGTTCAAAAAATCTGCACGATTGGTCCAAGAGATCTCATACTGACCATTATCTTCCCACTAGAGAGTCATAAGTATAGGGGACACCTCACAGTGGCTTTGATGGAACTTCCGCAAGACTACCATTCCTGTCCCCCATCCACTAACCGACCTGCACCTACCTCCACAAAGACAGACACGAAGGAGGGTGTCCTCCTTATCTTCAGGGTTGGCCAGATTTATGTGACCTCTTGTTGGGTTCCTCAGATGGATATTGTGTCAAACATTCCTCCTCTTGCCAGGCAGCTGTGTGCTGATTTCTGGGGGTTCATCAGCATTTCCACTCTTTTGTTACAGAAAACTATACCTGCGGAGGTTTCCTGACCTGGCACTATGGGACCATTTCTAGTCCATTCTATCCCGGGAATTATCCGAACAATGCCAGATGTGTGTGGAACATTTTGGTCCCAACCAACAACTACGTGTCTCTGAGCTTCACAGATGTACAGTAAGTGTGGGTACAGAGCAGATGTTAGAGAGAGTGTGGGGTGCCTGTGTATTCATGGGAGTGATAGTTAAGGTCACTTTTTAAAAAGGGGTTCACTTTTGACTTGGCATGAGAGTAGCCACAGAGGGTTTAATGGGTGTAAAAGTACAAGAAGTTGAAGATACTCTAGTTAAAATCCCAGTGTTGTTCTTAATTTGCTGTGTGGCCATGGGAGGCCACTCTCCTAAGTCCCAGTCAGAAGAAGAGACTAGAACACCTACTTTTCTCATGTCACCAGAGAATGTAGAAATACTTGGAAGTATTACTCTTTGGGAGAGCCAGTTCGGGGCTTAGGTAATGTCATTCTTGGGGATACAACGGGACAGTGCTGCTAATGAGGCCACCTATTAAGTGCAAAGATGTCCTCACAGCGCTCTCTCTCTCTCTCTCTCTCTCTCTCTCTCTCTCTCTCTCTCTCTCTCTCATTTCATGATGCCCCAGGGAGCAGGCGCAAGTGCACTTCCAATGAGGTGTGTGTGTGTGTCTGTGTGTGTGTGTATGTGTGTCCCCAATACTTACGGACAGAGCTGTGTTTTCAGGTCCTCTCTGGGTGCCTGTCTGTAGTGGTCTTGGAAATCTCTGCTCCAGTACCACATAAACATTGTATCAGTGCCTCTGCTAGACCAATACAAAGGCTGCCCCTGAGGTCCACCAGGGCCTACGTACAAAGGCACCCTTAGTATCCTCTGCTTCATCTTGGCGACACCTCAACCCATTTTCAGTGGTTACGAAATGCAGTGTTCCTTGCTGTAGATGAGAGGCTTGAAAGCTAGAGAGGTCCAATGATTTATATTGTGATTTTTGTGCTTTGTTTTCTATGATTTATGATTTTCTGTGTTTGAGTATTTTGTCTGTATGTATGTCTGTGAACTGCATGCTTGCCTGGTGTCCACAGAGGTCAGAGGAGGGTGTTTAGTCCGTTGGACATGGAATGATCGGTAATTATTGGATATGGAATGATAGCTGATTATGAACTCTTTTGTATGTGCTGGGAATCAAACCTTGATCCTTTGGAGGAGAACTTAACAATGAATTCAACCACTGAACTATTTATTCAGGTCCTGCTATGTTTTTTCTCCAATTCTTTTATTTATCAGAGATTGTGTCATCTGAAGATAATTGGCTACACCTTGAAGCAACAAATTACATTTTTGTCAGGTGACCTTCCTTTGTATGAAAGTCTTTCACGGAGAAGTGTTATAGATTATGTTCTGACCCCCAAAGGCAGACTGTAGACCAGGCGTGACAGTCTTGGGAAGATAGACAAATTCCCTTTAGGATTCCAGGAAGCCATCTATTCTTTCGGATGATATATTTTGTCACTGTTATCAGCACAGTGACTCCTGAGAAGTGAGTCCCCACATCAAATTCCAGACACAGAGTAGCTAACTGTCTATTCTGTCTTCTTAGGTTGGAAGGAGGCTGCAGCTATGACTACATCCTGCTTTTTGATGGCCCTGAATACGATTCTTCTCTCATTGCCCGTGTTTGTAATGGGGCCAGTGGAACTTACACCTCCACGCGGAACTTCATGTCTGTAGTCTTCATCACTGATGTCAGCGTCACCTTGAGAGGGTTCCAGGCTAACTACGCCGCTGTCTATGTCCCTTCCACCAGTGAGTTTCCTTGTGAGAATGAATGTCCACTTGTGTTTGGTGGTGCCTTCTGGTCCTCAGTTTTCCTGAGTTTGTGATATAAACAATATCATGGCCTCCCTGGGTCCTATTCTTGCCTCCTATGGAGAGGGACTGTGTGCGGCCGATCTTGGGGCTCTGACTGACAGAAAGATGGTTGAGGGCCAGCACTGGCTGATGGGAGGAACCCTGGCTTCAGTGTCATCATAAGAAAATAGAAAGGTCTAAGGTGATTCTTCAACAGGTAGTTCAAAGTGAGTGTCAGGAGGGGGGTGACAGCAGGCTTGGAGCTTTGTGAACCTTCCCAAGTGGGGGATATTGCCGTGTTTTGAAACCTAGCACATCTGTCTTCTGTCTAAAGAAGGATAGATTAGGACACATAAAACTGGACAGAACTTAATCTGTGTCGCTAAGCAGTCTTTTCTGGTACTTATAGGATCTACCCCGGGGCAGAGTTTTGTCTTGTCCATGAATTGTGTGCTGGGGACAACTGAGACTTCTTACAGCATCATTTAGGGGAGATTTAAAGCTGTCAGTAGTGTCTGTGCCAACTTGCTAGCCCTGTGATGAGCACCCACAACCGTGGTGGAGGGCATTTCGGGCCCTCTATGTGTTTTTTTCTCCCAGCCACAGCCCTGGTCCCTGTACTCCATGTCCAGCTACAGTGAGTTTCAGCCTTGATTCCCACTTCCTCACTCTAATCCAGCTTTGTTTTCCTCTCTAGCTTGGTGGACCACAACAACTCCTTACTATGGTACGTATTTTAGATTAAGCTAAAGTGCTAGCCTCCCCAGTGCTCTAACCAACAGGCTGGAGAGAGGGGTGCATATTCTTGGCCTTGCTTGAAATCTGGGCTGGAGCAAAGGTGATATATATATATATGGAGAGAGAGAGAGAGGGGGGAGAGAGAGAGAGAGAGAGAGAGAGAGAGAGAGAGAGAGAGGAGAAAGAATATGTAGAGGAAGAGACATTAGGGCTAAGATTTTTGTAGGGCACACCACCAGTGACCTGCTCTATTCAACCTGACCCATGACCCAATTACTGGGTCAAGTGATTAATCTATAAATCTGTTCAATGCACTCAGCATCTAATCACAGGACTGAATTCAAGAGTTGGTCTCCAAGTCTTCGGTAATGAGCTTGTTGGTGGGCATTTCCCATCTAAACCATAATGCTATCTCTGCAAGAAGGTTGCAGCCCTGGACTCCATGAATCAGGATAGGTAGACATAGCTGTAGAGTCGTGATACTCGCTCTAGATGACTCCATTCATCAGAGAGGTCCAGACCCTCATCACTAAATCCAAACATCCCTGGAAAAAAACCCAAGATAGGGCTAAGAATCCCTTTGCATCCAGAGTCCATGAACCCTGCACAGGTCCAAGTGGCCTATTCCACACCTTTGTCTGTCAGTCAGGGAAAGCAAGGGTTTACTAGCTTAACCAGTGGACTCCAGGTTCAATGGGAGACCTTGCCTCAAAACACACTTCTGAGTTATGTATACACACCCAACCACCAATAAATATTACATCACAAACACACACACACACACACACACACACACACACACACCACAGACACACGAACAGCCTAGGCTTCAGTGCATGTGCCAGGGCTAGGCTGACTATGATTGGGTTTCTCCCTTAGATACTGTGCCAAACATTCCTCCCTCTGACAGGCAGCCATGTGCTGTGTTCTGGGGATCACCAGCGTTTCCACTCTTTCCTTCCAGCCAACTATACCTGCGGAGGTTTCCTGACCCAACCCTTTGGGAACTTTTCCAGTCCATTCTATCCCAGGAACCCTAACAATGCCAGATATGTGTGGAACGCGGAGGTCCCAAACAACTACCGTGTGGCTCTGGTCTTCAGAGAGGGATAGAGTCTGTGTTTGTGAATATAAAGCCCTCCAGGCCTGTGCCTCAAGTCTAGTGTGGGTGGGGCAGTCCTGTGAAGCCTGAATGGTCCAGTGTAAGAACTGGACTTGTCTCCTTACCCTTGACTATGTTGAACTAAAAGCTATACCCTCCACTTGTCTTAGTGACATAACTAAGCCCTTAATCCATTTTTTTGCTAGGCTTCACTGTTTTGAAAATGTTGTTTGCTTTGGAATTCTTTTCCTATGCTATTTGTCTAGAAAGTGCTAAGTATTGCAAGTGTCAAACAGCATGGGATAGCAGAGGCTCTCCCTATCATATGCCTAAGGTATAAATGGCCCGATTCTTTAAGAAGCCGTTGTCATTCAGGAGAAAGTTATAGCTGCTGTGGGTCCAGGGCCTCCTCACCATCTTTTTTGATGCACACACGAGAGCGTGGAAAGAGCTTCTTTTCTCTGTCACAGTGCTTCTGTGTACAATGTTTTCTGCTTGGCCAAGCCTTGCTGCGCAGGCCTTCCTTCTAACCCAGCTTTGTTTCCCTCCCTAGATTGGTGGAATACAACAGATTCTTCCCACGGTAAGTCCGAGATGAGAGCAAAGCAGAGCTTTCAGCCCTTCAGCCAAGAGATTGAAGAGAAGCAGTAATTCTGGGATCTTCTTGAAGTCTGTGGTGGAGCACAGCTCAGCAAGCATAGGAGAAAGAGAATAATCAGGAAGAGGGCATATCTTTCCTGTGACATTCCCCAATGATCCACTATGTTCCCCAAATCCATCTCCTATTTAATCCATCTCAGAAGCAGTTAAGGGATTTGGTGAGAGCCCTCAGGATGCTATCATGGGGCTGGACCACGAGCAGGACTTCAGGTCTTTAATAAGTATCCATTAGTTTACACTCCCTCTTCCGCTCAAAGCACCATGGCATTGCAGGAAGACTGGGACCCTGGACTGTGTCAGCCAGCACAGGTAGAAACAGGTGTAGTATTTCCTCTAGAATGTCTCTATTCTCCAGAGAGATGGAAGCCCATACCAGCAAACACATAGGCTCCACGAATAAGCCCTGTGATAGGTATTATACCCAAAGGTCTCTTTATGTCCAGGCTGCAGAAACTCTGCACCACTGATCCAAGGGATATGGTACCCACCATCAATTGACAGTGGTGGAATCAGAGGCTCAAGAGAACTTTCTCCATGAGTACAGGGAATGTCTGAGGCTGTTTCATGTTGTTTACTTAATGCCTTTTTTTTTCCCCTCAGTAAATGAGTCTTCATTGGTGCTGAGGCTGGTAAACGGAGCAGACCGCTGTCAGGGTCGAGTGGAGATCCTGTATGAAGGCTCTTGGGGCACCGTGTGTGATGACTTCTGGGACATCAATGATGCCGCTGTGGTGTGCCGGCAGCTGGGCTGTGGCCCGGCTCTGTCTGCCCCAGGAAGCGCTCAGTTTGGTCAGGGCGCGGGGTCCATACTTCTAGATGATGTGTCCTGCTCAGGGTATGAGTCTCACCTGTGGCGCTGCCCTCACCCTGGCTGGCGTGTGCATAACTGTGCACATTCTGAAGACGCAGGAGTCATCTGCTCACGTGAGTTGGGTGAACCTCTGCCGTCTTTTTCCTGGGTGAAAGTCCTTCTTAGGTTCGGGTCTTACTACTCAATGAATTGGCTTTTCCCCATTTGCTAAAGTTGCCTAAGTTCTTCGCTGGCAGTGATTTTTACCTCTTTAAATAAGGCTTGCCGTGGAAATGGCCACTGGTGACCCAAACCTAAGGGACATTAGTCATTATAACACATCGCTGGGTAGAAGAATCGGGGAGAAAATCGCTGGCCTCACTGTTTCTTCTCTCATGGTGGAGTTCAGTGGGGAGAGAAGGAGATGCAGTCTAGAGAGTGAGGAAGATCCTATGTCATTGAACATCCTCCAGTTCAAAGTGTTCTCTGTCCACACCCATTCACAAGGCTTTCTGAAGGAGGCCCATTTGCTAGGACTGAGAGTGTTTGTTTATGCTCAGGTATTTTTAGGATAAGAGAGGGCTATCTGTGACCATGATGACAATTCCTTATATTTCTCTGGACCCCACACCCACCACCCACTAACACTAACCCCCAGGCCTAGCTGGTTCTGGGTAAAAACTGGACTTGGACAAGGCCACATAGCATCTGAATCACTGGACAGCTATGAATTGCAAAGTTCAGCCTGTCACCAGACACATTTCTCGCCTCGTGGAGGACCAGATAGTGGAATACTAAGTGACCCTCACAAGGAACATCTTCCTGGGAGTTATAAATGGCTACCAATCCCTACTCTGAGGCAGGGGATGAGCACAGGTTAATGCAAATTCTGCCCAGTGTCCATTCACTCGGGTTCCAGATGAGTCGCCTTCTTATCAGGGCATTTAACATCTTCTTCTTCTTTTTGCAGCTTCTGAGCCAATAACCACTCCCAGTCCAGGTGAGTCCAGCTGTCATGTAAGTCCCGTGTGTCCCCCTTCCTCTGCTTTGCTGGCAATACCAGGCCGTAGCTCCAGAATGGATTGGATTCTACAGCACTATTGCTGCCCCAGAACGTTCTGTTCTCTGTAAAGTAGAAAGGCAGTTTCTGAGGGGCTCACACCTCCCTCCTGTCTGGCTAGGGGAGTGAGAAAGTTGCATACTTAATCTGTGTCACGAAGCAGTCTTTCCAGGTGCTCTTAGGATCTACCCCGGGGCAGAGCTTTGTCCTGTCCATAAATTGTAGCTGGGGACAACGGAGACTTCTTACAGCAGCATTTAGGGGAGATTTAAAGCCGTCAGTAGGGTCTGGGCCAACTTGCTAGCCCTGTGATGAGCACCCACAAGTGTTGTCGAAGGCATTCCTGGCCCTCTATGTGTTCTTTTCTCCCAGCCACAATGACTCCCTGGTCCCTGTACTCCATGTCCAATAACAGTGAGTTTCAGCCTTGATTCCCACTTCCTCACTCTAATCCAGCTTTGTTTTCCTCTCTAGCTTGGTGGATCACAACAACTCCTTACTATGGTACGTATTTTAGATTAGGCTAAAGCGCTAGCCTCCCCAGTGCTCTAACCAACAGGCTGGAGAGAGGGGTGCATATTCTTGGCCTTGCTTGAAATCTGGGGTGGAGCAAGGATGACAAAGATAGATAGATAGAGAGAGAGAGAGAGAGAGAGAGAGAGAGAGAGAGAGAGAGAGAGAGGAGAGAGAGGAAAGAGAGAAAGAGGAGAGAGAGAGAGAAAAAGAATATGTAGAGGGAGAGACTCTAGGGCTAAGATCTTTGTAGGGCACACCTCCAGTGACCTGCTCTATTCAACCTGACCCATGACTCAATTACCAAGTCAAATAATTAATCTATAAATCTGTTCAATATATTCAGCATCTAATCACAGGACTGAATTCAAGAGTTGGTCTCCAAGTTTTCGGCAATGAGTTTGTTGGTGGGCATTTCCCATCTAAACCATAATGCTATCTCTGCAAGAAGGTTGCAGCCCTGGACTCCATGAATCAGGATAGGTAGACATAGCTGTAGAGCCATGATCCTTGCTCTAGATGTCTTCATTCATCAGAGAGGTCCAGACTCTCATCACTAAATCCAAAGATCTTTGGAAAAAACCCTGAGATGGGGGCTAAGAATCCCTTTGCATCCAGAGTCCATGAACCCTGCACAGGTCCAAGTGGCCTATTCCCTACCATTGTCTGCCAGTCAGGGAAAGCAAGGGTTTACTAGCTTAACCAGTGGACTCCAGGTTCAATGGGAGACCTTGCCTCAAAACACACTTCTGAGTTATGTATACACACCCAACTACCAGTGAATATTAAATCACACACACACACACACACACACACACACACACACACACACACACACACA